CGAGAATTTTTGAATTTTAGTAAATACTAGAGTCAGTGCATCGTGTATTGAAATAATAGCTTCATCCTTAGTGCGTTTATTACTGAATATTTTTACGGGTTTAACTTATGCTTCTCCCCAATTCTCGTCGCGTGTTTTATTCAAATTTTCTTATATTCTAGAATCGAAAAAGATACGAATTCGCAGTTTTTCTTCTGATTCTTTCAATTTTTCACTCTCGTTCGAAAATTTTTCTGGTGATTTGGTTTAGTAGTTAGTTGTTTTGTGTCCTCGATATCGCCATGATGGTCATCAGTGACTGGAGTGCCTCAAATGTTTAGAATAATTAAAATAAAATAAATGTTGTCAACTAAAAATTTTGAACGTCATAGCTAGCTAGACATTATTTTCAATTGAAAAAAAAAAAATTATAAAGCATAATACTATAATCCTATGCTTAAAATGTATTTTCTTGTGGCCGCCTGACAGCAACCTGTAAATCTGGCGTGACAGTGAACGTGTTAATAAGTAAATGTTGTTCAAATTATGTCGTGTTTTATGTCATTTTCATCAGAAAAATCTCATCAATATGTTAAGAAAAATTTCGGGATAAAAAAAAGTAAAATTAAAAAGGTTGGTATTTAAATCGCTTGGTTGCCTCGACTCACATTTCATGCTTATCTTTTATTCGCTGCCCTTGCCTACGTTCGGCAAACTACAAAGGCGGGCGGGAGGCTCTAAAACGTAGTCCCTGATTCTACGAGTGTCAAGGTTTAGCTTCCTTGCGGTCTGACACTTGTGGAGAATATACTGTATACATAAGTTATAGCATGCGATAGTTTGCATTGAAAAATGAATTTTAAACTTCGAATAAATAATTAAAACTATTGTTGTTATTCACTGGCCTCCACAAAATTGAGCAACTTTTGCAGGAAACATTTTTAGGAAATTTTAATCACAATGGAAATATTTCAAGTGTTGAAGTTAGGTGGTACACCCTGTATGTAGTATGCGACATTTTACTTTGAAAAATTAACTTCCAATTTTTATCTATTTTGCGTAATATAGGTACATGCGTAGTTTCTTTTTTTTTTATTTTAATTAGTTTTGTTAAAATGTGAAATTATATACCTCGCTCCAAACCAACATCGTTCCAAAAACAACTTGAAGTCCGTCGAAGAAGTTTTCGCCGATGATTATTACCGTTGATCCACCGGATGTCCACCCTTCATTCGGTGATATCGCTTTTATGCACGGGGTTTGAAGAGGTACTGGTGTATAGAGACCTAATTTAGCGAACACTGAATATTACTAATTATTCAATATATGAGCGACAGATTAATTTATTTGTCATTTTATATAATAAATTGTGTATCGTTATTCAAGTGATATACCGAGATATAAATTAATGCGTAGATAGATCGTAATGTTAATGTATGGTCGACACTACAAGATTTAAATTTCAAGTTTCTGGGAAATTAGTGAAAATTTTGCACAGTGGCAGTTTCTTACTATTATATTAATGTTAATTATTTACATTTGCACGTCTTGCACTGTTGAACTACATTAACATTCGAGCTACAAGTGCTTCAATTTTTCTTAAAATAAATGCTGCACCTTCATAAGTATTAGGACACTCGTTGTGTTTGTACAGTAAGTATACGATTTAAATTAAATTTCTCCACCAAAATTAGTATCTTATACCAATAAAAATATATGGACTCGTTATACTACGAGATTCCAGACTGAATAATTTTTTAATCACTGTTTAGGTTTGCTTCACATTCACTAACTATCCTAATACTCATAAAAATTACTCAGTTTAGCAATACAACCTGTTACAATATGCAAATCTATCAATAACTAATTCTACAGTCGAAAAAGTGAAAAAATGGCTGAACTATTAAAAATCTACTGAACCATATACGTGCGATAAAATAAATTTCACTGTTAACGGTAAATTTAGCTTTGAAAAAAAAAAAAAAGAAATGGACGCACAATACAACCTGTTACAATATGCAAATCTATCAATAACTAATTCTACAGTCGAAAAAGTGAAAAAATGATTGAACTATTAAAAATCTATTGGACCATACACGTGCGATAAAATAAATTTCACTGTTAACGGTAAATTTAGCTTTGAAAAAAAAAAAAAGAAATGGACGCTCCTTATATCTATCTTCCAGTTTAATACCTGAAATCACGAAAACAATAACGAACGGTGGGCAGAGGGAAAAAGTCGCGACGGGGTAAGGTCGAGAAATTACACGAGTTCCCGTGATCGCGAAAGGTGAGACGAGAGGCAGTTAGTTGGGGGGATGGGATACGGAAAATTATCTGAATATTCTGTTTATTCGGTCTAGGCCGTGTGGTAGATATATTTCCCGCAGTAGCATGGCAAGCGAGCTTAAACCATGGGAATGGTAGAAAGTAAGAGAGGGAAAACGACAGGGAATCTATGAAGGAGAACGACAGCGATGTGTAGAAGAAGAAAGAGAAAGAGGAAGGGGAGAAGGCGGACAAGAGGAAGAGACTGAGGGCCGGAGTGGCCGGAGAAGGGTTGTAACAAGAAAGGAGGGAGGGAGGCGATCGGGCCGCTGGTGTCTCTGCTTGGAATTTATAACCCAATGATATCATTTTGTACCCCAGCGAAGCCAAGCCACCCCCCCGTACCGACCCTAGCAGAGCAGAGCCACGGCAGAGTAGCTGACATCATGGTATATTGCTCCCAGTGATGCTCAAACAGTTTCCACCTCAGGTGCTTGCGCGTGTTACCGCTACTAAACCTTCGAGGCTTTAAAAAATCTTCGCGGTGTTCATGCCCGCTGTATTTAAAAAAATAAAACACTCTCTCCTTTGTGCTCAATCGCGTTAAACTGTCCTAATGATAGCAGGAAAAAATTGAACAATTTTCAAACAGTTTTTCGGGATAACCTCTTGGTACGACAATTCTTATTTCTTGAGATCAGTCAGGCTTGACGAAGACGTAGAAATAAATCAAGATAACCGCGTGAATGGATTAATTTGTATTTCAGTGTTACACAGTTTACTGTTTCTATATTCTGTTTTGCATAAAACCAGAGGAAATTTTAGTGTACGAAGACAGTGGAGCGCTAAAGAGTTGCAATTCCAGTGTAAATGGGGATTCTTGAATGGGACACTGGTATTTATTGCGTTCAATGTACAAGAAAGTCGTTAAACAGAGTCGGCCACGTTGGCAACCACCCTGGTAGAGAATTGTCGGACGAAGTGGTATGGGGCGGAAAAGTAGGAAGAGGTAAAATGGAAGGAGAAAGCGCAGGAGGGTTGAAAAGAGAGATTCAGTGGAGGAGGCTGGAACAAGCGTACCAACCCGGAATAAATAAAATCCCCCGTGCCACTAGCAAGTGGTAAGGGGTGCTTACCCGCCACCCCCTCGGCCTCCTCTTTTACCACGAAACCGTCGTCGAAGTCGAAGAACCGTTGTACTCCAACATGTTCAACCCGATTCCCTCTGATCACTGTGAGATCACGCGATAACTTCGTTCATCCCGATAAAGACTCCGGAAGTTCTCGAAAAAGAAATTGCTTTTACTTTCACCGTGAGTCCCGTCGTTATGTCCGCTTCAGCAATTTCGACGATTTATCAATTGTTGTTGGGATATACGTACGCTCGTAAAAGCTCATTCAAGTCGATGAAATTCGAATTTTGCTCGTCAAATTCAAAGTTTTGTACCGAACTCAACATTAAGTGAAATTTATCAGTGTCGTCTAATTCAGTTTTTTTTCTCCCTATAGTTATTTTCAGCTTTATTGCATTTGAACGGAGGTGACTGAACTTCTGAGATGCAGGAACTTCTAAAAATTCTTTGCATAAGGAATTAGTGTTTTAATTTTGTCTTAATAAGACAAACTTCCCTTGGTTGAATTTTGAATGAAAGAATATTAATAAATATTGAAATATATTTCAACTAAACGACTTATCGTATAAATAAAAATAATATTGATACAGAAAAATGTTGTAATTGTTTATAATTATTTCTAATTCTGTGCTAGAGGCAGTATATGTTACTTACGTGAAACTACGTGAAAAATTCGAAAATTTGAAAGATTGGCAGGTAAATATGAAATGTAACTAAAAATGTAGAAATATTTTATTGTACAGATATCCTAAGAAATATTATAAACTGAATACTGCTATCAACTAAGAAGATACAGCAAAAGCACTGTCTTAATTTCCTAGATTTATATCAACGTCGAACGTCTGATTTTCAAAACGGTGGAGCAAATTCGTTCGTAACGCCAGCAATAGACTGCAAGACGTTCTCTCCCTCTCTTCCTTCA